TCCAACAATATAGGTTTTATTCACATTCGTTAAAACGCACAGCAGACGTTTTTTCGCGTATTAATTTATGTATTTAAATTATATTTATTCATATTAATTTAAATTATATTGAAAAAATTCATAAACGCTTAAAAATTTAATTATTCGTAAATAATTTTTTGAGACTGCAAGTATCAAGGGTTGAACTCGTAATTGCCAAATTTGAAGCTTAGAGTCAGTGTGGATTTACCAACTGACCCAAGACCGTACTTGACTTGTATGTTCGCACTTTGGAGTTTTGTTAATTTGCTGTGTTTTATTAAAACGAAATGAAAAACCAGCTGTAGAATAACTGAATTAATTAAATATATTTATAGTTTTTAATTGAATTTTAGTACTATTCTTTTGTAGAGGTGGAACTCCAAAGTGCGAACATAGAAGTTGAGTACGGCTTTGGGTCAATTAGCAAATGAAAACCTTCAACCCTTGGTACTTGCAGTGTCAAAAACTTGTTTACGAATAATTAAATACACGATGGATATTTGGTAATACTCGAAACAGCTGTATGGTCAGCCAAAAATTCAATTAATTAAAATAATATAAAAAAATTTTTGTTGTTGAAGTTCACTACTTTACGAAACCTCCCTAAACGCTTGAAAAACAAATCAAAGATAATGAAGCAGTGAATATATAATTGCGATCATAATCTTACACTCACATGACCAGAAACAATTTTTCCGACATTATTATGTCATTCATTATTATTGATTTAAAGATAACATCATCTATATCTGTATGATCACAAGACTTGAATTTGTTTTGATTTCTGCAGAGTTGATCTAGAATTTAGTTTTTAATTTTAATCACAATTGAAAGATTGTTGGAAACTAGAATTTGTTTTTGAGCTTTCGAATAATACTTTGCTCATTTGAAAAAACTTGGTTACAAAGTGCAAACTTACTATTGAGAAGTGCGCTATAAAGACGATCAAAAATGGTGAAATCGTAGTGTCTCCAAAAAAGTTTGTTATTTTAAAATTTAAATAACGTTTAGAAAAATTTTAATTTCTTTTATAATTGCCATCATGTAACATATATGGTATAGATAATTAAAAATTAATTTGCATATTATATATATCATGTATTATATCACTTCATATTGTCTATTATGTTAAGTGATCACAAAACATGGCAACTATTTTTATTATATTTTATGCAAATATAGGTTGTTAATAGATTATAAACTAATTGAGATTTATTAAAAGTCACCCAAAGTCTATTTAGATATTTTAAAGGAACAAACTCTGATGTAAACAATTAATCATGAATATGTATACATATTTACGCAACAAAAACTTAATAGGTTTAATATTGAGTTATGAATAAAAAAACAAAAATAAAATTAAAAATCATACAATGTAGTTATAAAATTATTAATAATAATAATAATATATATTGAAATTGAAATTGTTTCTTAATTCAGATCGGAAGGTATAATTAGTATATGTTTTAATTAAGTTTTCTTTAATAGTTTTCATATTAATGATTATAATTAGCACTTGTCTTAGCACACGTTGTGCATAAATTAAGTTAATGTTTTTGATTCATTTCGTTTGAGTGTAGGTTATGTTAGGTTATAATGATGTCCCTACGAATTCATTCAGCTCTGTTTTTACATGGTATTGCCATATAAAACTCTAGGGGTTAAAGTCATTTCGAAACTTTAATGAAGCTCAAAATGTTTTTTGAATTGAAGATCTGACTAAGAAAATAAGTTCTTAGCAATATTTGAATATATATATATATATATAAAATATATATGAAATTAAGTAGACAAATAACACACACACACACACACACAGTATATAATATATTGTATTTCACGTAAAATCATTTCTATACGCTTTAATTTTTATTAATATTATGTTTACGGAATTTGCACTGCGACTTAGAGATCTATTGTGCCTTATTATATTGACTTAGAGTATTGTTTCAACTTCAAATTCCTCTATAAGTTATAGTATTGAACCTACGTTGCAGATTTTTATTTCTCCGCCCAATATGAGATGCTTAGGTATTTCTTTTGTTTATGCACTAGCACCGAGCAAACTTTTAGCCCTTGTTTTGGGGTCTCATTGTCTTATCTACAATTTTAAATTTTTTACAATATCTGTATGCTTCAAAAATAAATAAACTATATTTAAAAATAAAAGAAGTGTTTAATTTCCCAATTTGCTTTAGATACACTTGTTAGTTTATTTGTTTCATATATAGTTTCTAAACATCAATAACGTTCCCACTTAATATGGGTGTTAGACTTGCTTACATTCACTTGAAGTACATTCACTTACTTATTATTCACATAACGAATAAAAACTGCTTATAAATGAACTTATTAAACAATTGCGTTATATTCTTTTAGTAATTTATTTCTTAAAAATGGATTCTGACATTAGACCTTCCTTTAGAAGTAACGCGTTATGTAAGTAACATTTTTTTATTAAAACTATTGAATAAACTATGTACCCTTGATTGATTTAAAGACTTTATTTTTTTTTTTTTTTTAAGTTTGAATAAAAAGAAAGGACTGACTAAAGACGTAACATAACTAAGTCAGAAATATAAGTAAGGCAAGTTACCAAAAGTCGATTTCTGCGCAATAGTAATATCGTAAAGCTGTATATATAAATAAATTATATGATATTTGGAATGCTCTGCTATATGTATAATTCATAAAAGTGTCTCATTTTATAAAAGTACAGTGACTCTATGTGTTTCTCTATGTGTGTCTATATAAAAGATTATTGTTATTAATTATTTTTTTAAAAAATGTTATATCGAGCATTACTGCTTAAGTCTATTAAGCGATTTTGTTACTATTTTAATGATAATTAAATTATATTTATTTAAACAATTATACTGTGAAATATCGAGTTGTTCACTGAGTTACGGTATAGTTATGACTAGAACTGTGACTAGAATTGCTAATAAACTGATTTCTATTCTTAAAGTTTTAAATTTGAAAGTGTTCACCTTATGTTGTTTTTCATTTTATTTAAATAAAAATATTAATTACAATATAAAATATAACCATTTGATGTAAAAAATAAATTCAGAATTTTAGAAACAAATAACTGACCTTTTTAATCACTGTCATAAAATTGTTTGCTGTTGTATTATTTTTTATTTTATAAATTTAAAATTGTTTCTTGGTTTCAAATAGATAAAATCAGTGTATCTTTATATAGTTTAGTTACTCTAGAAGAAATAATTGAATGTAATACATTTTGTTGATTATAATCGTTCTTACTTAATTACAATTTAAAGATTATTTAGGCTACCAAATAGTCTTGCTAAAATTGCTGAGCAATAAAATTTAAACTTAATAAGCTTACGTTGTGAGTAAAAAATTCTAAACAGATGTTTGCAATATGGAAAGTTAATGGGGGCTTAATTTTAGAAGTAAACCCATAGAACCCTGGAAAACTGCTAGAGTTCAACTGAGTTCAATGAACATTCAGAACTTAATTTAATTGGCTTGAGATCATGAGCACATAGGAATACAAGGAGTTAAAATTGCGTATGAAGAAGTCAAATAATAATCTGATAGCCGACACATATAAGCGTATCGAACAAACGTTTTGAAAATTATTTTTTAATATTACCAAAACACAAATTGAAGACCATGCGAAAAAGCTGGGGAGAATTCAAGCTACTGACCACCAATCGTACTCAGGGAAAGATATTTGTTGCAGCCCTATGCTCCTCCTAGGAGTTAAAGGATTTAATATATATATATATATAAATTGAAGACCATGTTGCGCTCCAAAAATTCTAATTTAATATGACCATACTATAGTCAACAAGGAATATGTTGAATAAAGCTAGAATCGGAGTAGCAAATTTCATGGTGGACGATATATATCTATTTGGAAAAATTGGACATTTCCAAAACGCAGAATCTTTAAGGAAGACGAAATAATTGAGCATTCATGTGCAACTCCATTCCATTCCTGGCGAGGAATGCATTCCAGTATTCCTAACGAGAATGAAAGAAAATTAAAATATATCTTTAAATTAATATTCTTATTTATTAATTACGGAAGTTAAATGTAATTATCTCCTTGTGTTTAGTAACAAAATAGCATTTATGTGTTACAGGAACACAAAAGAAAGCTCTGGTGCCTCCAAAATTAATTCAATAAATAATGATATAATAAAATAAGTCATCATAAGTAAATAAACTAATAATATGTAATCCTTTTTATTTTATTAACTTTAAACATTTCCAATGCAATTCCAATTGCAATTTCGTTAAAGATTCAGTTAATTTAATTAACTGAATTAATTTAATGAATTTCATTTTCTTTGGTTAATAGTTTTACTTAAAAACTATTTATTTTTTTATATACACGTTGTTATTGACATATATATACAATATATCGACATATACATATGTACAATGTTAATCATCATAAGTTAAAAATTTATTTCAGCAGTTATTTTAATAACAGCAGAAAATGTAATATTTTCTATGAGTTATTCTATGATTTGCTAAATTTGCTACTCTGTAATATGTCTTCATGTTCATAAAGAAATACTATTGAAATAAAAAAGTATCTAAATAGAAATATATATCAGTTTTGTATTATAGTTTTGTATTTTGTCATGTTTGCTTAAAAGTTGCTTAGAACCTGGGAGCAAGACTTGGTAACACTGACATTGTGCGATATTGCTAAACAATGCTTTGTCAATTTGTAGTTGGTATTGGAAAATTATAGAAAATCTCTATTAATAATCTTAATAAACATTCTAATTTATTTAAATAAAATTGCAACTACCACATATTTTTAGCGAGAGTCTGAGTTCGTTCACTTGTTGTACAATTGACATGTTAACAACACGTTTAAATGCTCCATTAGATTCTAAAGTCATGCTTGTTTAAATTAAGAAGTAGTTCTGTAGTTGCCTATATATAAGGCGATGATAACTTTTTTATTCACATCTATATAAACTGTCTATCAAGTAAAACGAAGAACGCTTCGACGAAACACTTTTAAAAATGTTAGGAATTTTTTTATTTTCTTGCTGTGTTGCACTTCTCTATTGGATACACAAATATTATCATACGTTTTGGAAACATTTGAATAAGTTTCCAGGACCACTCGCAATTCTGCCACTTGGAAACTTTCTTCAAATGACTTTAAGCATGGAGAGTAAGTCGAGATTAATATTTTTTATAAATAACGTAATGTTAAAAAACTAACATCCTTTAATGAATCCTTAATCAAAAAGTAAATAACAAAAAAAAAAATAAAATATATAAAAGTAAAATATATAAAATATATTAATAAAATTAAAAATAAATGGTGATATATCGATTTAAAGTGATAAAATTAGTACAATGGAATATGAGATTTTGTTTGATTTCAAAAAATATGATCGTTTTTAAAACCATACTCAAAATATAAAGTTTTTTATATCAGTAATATATCTACAAAGCTTTAATAAAACAATTATAATTATTATAATAAATTTTTGTACATAAGTTAATATAAACGATATGACGATATAAGTGAGGAGCTAAAATAAAAAAGAAAAATAAACTAACAAATATTAAAATAAGTGATCTGTGACATTAATTTGAGTTTCAATATTCCTTTAAAACTTTTAAAATAAATTTACTATAAATAAGAGTATAATCTTTTTTATACAGTAAATATCGTGGTTTCTTGAAAGAGAATCAGAATAACTACATAACCATATCTCATTCCTAAAGGAGCGAGATATAGTTTATCAAAGTGTAATGTTCTATAAAAAAATCAAAACTAAATTACTTAGACTTTGGCTTTTTTCATTTACTTAAACTGCATCGCATTTAAGAAGTCACTGTGATAAGATGGAAAAAATCATAAAAATTAGTGAATATCATCAGGACCCTAAATGAAAATAATTTCATTTAGAGTCCTGACAAAATAACATTTATTATAATACTAATAAAAAGTTTATCAAATAATAAAATGAAAATAATAGTGATATATACTCGTAGTTCCTAAACTAATTTCATTTACTTAAACTGCATTGCAATTAAGAAGTCACTGTGATAAGATAGGAAAAATTAGAATATATCTAATAATAAAATAAATATAATAATGATGTATAGATCCTATAAATACAGGCAGAAAAGTTTAATATGCATTCTGTCAAATACTACTGTGAGATTTCAAAATGAATTGATCAATATAACATATTTTAGGCATGATAATTTACAATTTAGGTAGTTTTCCGTATGGTGAAGAATTCTTTTTTTGAAATAACGATTTTATTATAAAATTTTCAATGGCATTTTTCTTTTCAACCTTGGAAAGTTTAAGATAAATACTAAATTTATAAACGGAATCAATAAATATAAAATCATTCAATTGATATCTTCTTTAACTCTTAAAATATCGATGTGAAACTCCAATGAAGTTCTTGGGCATTATATTTTGATATGTCTTTTTGCTTGAAAATTGAAGCAACTGTATTAAAAAAAAAAAAAATTTTTTCCAGAAAGGACCTGTTACTGATCCATCAGTTTTTTGACAATAATAATAAAATTGGAACAGTATTGAGTGAAATTATCATAAATTTTTCAGCCAATTTAAAATTTAAATATTTTTACAAGCTTTAGACACAACTTTCTAATGAGCTTATATAGCAGTTCCACTGATGCATATTCCACTGATTTTATCAAATCACTTTCAAAAATTCTATAAATCAAATTTCATTTGATTGATTCAATGCCTAGGACTAGTTTAAGTTCAACAGGTGAATAGATGTAATAGATTAACGTGACTGATTAAGAATATATGTACATACAATATCCATAATTACAATCAACGTCATGTGTTTTAAACTTAATAAAATTAATAGATATTTTTAAAAAGATTTAACAGTTTAACACAACCAATTAATTTCATTTAATTATTTTAAAGAAAATTTCAAAACAATGCTTGGATATTGTCGACAATACAAATACAATGATTTTCGATTTTATGGTGGCTTGAGTCCATATCTTTTAATTCTAAAACCAGAGAGCATGGAAGTAAGTGTAAATATATATATATATATATATTTATTTTTACTTATTCTAATTTACAAACTATACGTTATAGCATATATTGACTAATGTTGAGATCAGTAGTAAAGAAGGTACGTACAAGTTACTTCGACCATGGCTAGGAAATGGAATCGTTGTGGCCAATGGCAGTTACTGGCATCAGCGTCGAAAAATGTTAACACCATTTTTCCATTTCGATATTATCAAACAGTATTTGCCTATTATCAATAACGTAGGAGATCGTTTCATAACGCATTTGAAGAAATATTCCCAAACATTTGAAGTATTCGATATGCAAAATTTAGGACAACGTGTCACCATTGATATGCTAAGCGGTATAACAATATAATATGCTTCAACATTTCCTCATTAATTTACTTTGTTTTTATTATAAATACAGAGACCGCAATGGGAATTAAACTAAATGCATTAGATAGTAATACTTCTTCTATATGTGACAAAATACACGCGTCAGTATAGTTAATACGAGTATAATTTTCAAATATAAAAAAAAATTAATTTCTTTACAGTTTGGGAGAGCTTTTCCAACGGCGCCGATTTATCTTGCTTTATAATATACCTATGTGTTATGAATATACAGCTGACTACAAAAAACAACAACTTTACATTAAAGAGATAAAAGTTTTCATTAAAAATGTAAGTTAGTCTATATGTAAACAAAATTAATGACAGACTGTATTTAAGATTCAAATTTATTAATCCCGTCCCAATTCGTTATCATAATATCACTACATTGCTCATGAAGTGTATTTATTTAATGCCAAAAAAAATATTTTATTTATTCAGTAGATGATATCATCTATGATGACAACATTTCCACATCTCAATATCATCTATAATGATATCATCAAATCCTCTTAATAACTGCGATTTACTCTTTTTATAAGTCGCGTTTTAATGGTTTAATGGTTTAATGGTTTTCATAACCATTGCTTCCATTAACAAAAAGCAATGTTGTTTTTCTTACAAAAGGTAAGTGCAAAAAAAATCATTAATATCATACCATTCATCTACTTCGTGTTTGATTTTAACGATAAAATTAAAAAAGATAACATTAAAGTAGTTTATATAGATGAAATTAATAATTTACTGCTAGAGTTGAAAATTGGGACAAAAATTGAAAAATATCCAGTCAAGATTCCATAAAAACTTTACAAAGCTTTTAACTTAACTTGATTGGATGATTTATTAGGAAAAAATTACTATAAATATAAATGATAACAGACTTTTTAAAATATGTTTACTTGAATTAATTCATATTCATAAGTTCTCTTATATTTTTAAGGTATATAATTAGCTCTACAATTAACCGACAAGCGTATAAGTGAAACTTTTATAGGAAATCAACGTTCAAACAGAATTCAAAAAATGTGGAACAAATAGCATATAAACATCTAAATCGGTTCTATAAGACTGTATTTGAAGCAAATGAAACGCTTGTCTACAAAAATATAAATTTAATCATTAAACTAATGTTGCTCTCCTGCGTTAAGTTTCCCTTCTAGTGCATCTTTTCAAGGCCTCTAAATTCTTCATATGATTTAAAATAATATAATCAGACTTCAAGAAAACCATGCTTCTTTGTCATTTAGACACTAAGATGAAATTAGATCAAAATACATAAGCCTTATTATTTTCTATTGCTTTGAGTATAAACTCAGTTATAGACTCTTAAGATTATTTTTATTTTAATTCTTAGCCTAAATGATAAGAAAAATAGCGTCAGTTTAACATTCAGACATTCATTTGATACACATACTAATAAGTATGAACTGAATAAATTGAAACTTATTCCTCCATTATTAAATTAATTATAGAATTACTGTATTTTAATTTATTTATAGTAATCCAATACAAAAAATTCTTCGTATATAGATCTTATATCAACGTTAAGAGCTCTATCATATGTTTATTGAATATAAAGGCATACTTTTAGGCTAAAATAATATTTATATGATGACTAGTTTGTAGCGTTAATTAAGTCTTTTAAATCGGAACTTCTTACTTAAAATTATTTTCATTTTATATATAAATTTTATATTTAATTATATAATATAAATAAATAGATTTTAATATAAATATTTTAACGAAGGTGTCATCTTCTACGTACATACTTTATAATCATTTTATAATATTACATTTTGTCATATTGTTTTACTCCACTTAATATGTTACAGTTTAGTATATGTTTGATAACAGATGTAGATCTTTGCTATCTAAAATTGTACAATTAATTTTGTTGATTAAATAAAACTGATTACATATGTACAGATAGATAAAGTGATGTAAACATAGTAAATTTATAATACAAAATTGGGTGACGTGTGAAATGTAAAATTTACACAAGTGAAGTGTTTGCATACAAGATTTATTAGAGCCACACCATTGACTTCAAGCGAGATTAAAATGTAAATTAGAGCTAAGGTAAATAACAAAATGAAAATTATTATAACATCATCTTCAATAAAGTTAAATAGACGAGGCTTGCTTGTGTGTCAATTTCCTTATTTCATGCAATTAATATTTGTTGTTGTAAAAGTGAAGTTATATAATATTTAGTTCATAACAAAAATAGTTTAGAAATTATAACAAAATGGCAGCATATATTATAACAACTCATTTACTTTACGGAATGTCTTATTTCCACATTATAGAGTAGTACTACTGTTTTACAATACAACAACTATATGTTAAAATGTTATTATTTACTATGAATTTGTATTAAGTTAATTTTAAGAACTTTTTTTTTTATTCAATATTCAACCACTGTCTGTTTGAGTCGACAGTCATGGTTGTATTCAAGACTAGAAATTTTCCTCAACAATGAATTTAAAATCAAATTCTTTGCTTCATGATTAATTTATGACTCAGTTTTAATACCGTGGATCCCTACCATTAACTTAAAGCAACTGTTATATGTATGCGACTAAGTATCGTCGATGTTCTTATTATGTCTTTTACGTAAATAAAGCTTGTTGTCACTAATCTACGAACTCGGAAGTTATTAACTAGTGGAAAAACAAATGCTTTTAACCCAGTAATACTGGTAAACAATGAAAATATATTAATCACTCTATATGCGCTTAGGAACTTTCCTAATTTAGTTAAGGTCAGAGTATAGTCATAAGCTAAATAGTAACTCGAAACGTATAAATCGTGTTCATCCCCAATGTGTGCCCTAACTGTTTCTATATTTTGTATAATTTCACCTTTATAAACTAAAATTAGATCAAATGATTTGTTGCTCTGCCCTATAGATACTA